TCTCCACCACCTCCTTACTACTACAAGTCACCACCACCACCATCACCATCTCCTCCCCCACCATACTACTACAAGTCCCCACCTCCACCATCACCTTCTCCTCCACCCCCATACCACTACATCTCACCTCCTCCGCCAGTGAAGTCTCCACCACCTCCAACATATATTTATGCATCTCCACCACCACCAATTCACTATTAGGCACACATTTCTCTCCTCAATCATGTAAGTTTCTATCCAAATTCAATTTTATTTATGATAATTTATATTACTTCACCACAATTTCTATCATATCTTTTAACTTTTTTGACATTGTTAATTTGCAGTTCATTCTACAAGTAAAATAAGGGAAGGCACTATGACAAGGATATTCACCTCTCAAGCTTCTATCGCTAGTTTACCTAATAAAGGTCTGAAGAATGCTAACAAGGACTATAACTTTTACAATTCAGGCCAAATTGTTGCTTCTACTTTGGTGGCTATTATAAGATTAGGAGTGGCCTTCCCAAGAAGTACCATGAAGAGAGAATGGAGTGGAAAGAAGTATTGAGAGTGGTTTCTAGGTGTTGTTGTTTGATCTTCATTAGGGTATTTTTCATCACCATTTGTTGTTTGTAAAGATCACAGTTGTATTTGTTTAAGCTCTATATGCATCGGTTTTGAGCTTCTTGTGCTTCATGCACTAAATTATTGGTAATAAAAAGAATTTTCTGTAAACAATTCCATGGTCCTATTTCTTCTTGTGTAGGAGCATGCAAATACTATGATCAATAAATCACTTTTTCAGGAATCATCAATGGCTGTAGACCAATCTTGCTACCACCCATAACATGGACCCTCAAATGATATAACCAATAGTAGATTCTCTTAGTGTTTGAAATTTAAAACAGACAACATTGTGTTCTATTTTATTGGAGGTCATAAGTCTAATGCAATCTTAGGAGCAATAGAGTTGAGCCTTTTCTCAAAGGACCCTAAAATCAATTCCATTCATCAATAAAATCTTGTCACTCAAAACCCTCCTAATGACATTCTTAATGAACGAGGTATGGTATGACCAAGTTACAACTTGAGAATAGGAAATAGCAGGTTGATTGCAATGAGTTGCTTTGTTATAGTTCCATCTACAAAATTGAGCAACTGCTTCATAGAACTCCTACAATTGGCAATTACATTGCAAATACACTAAGGTCAATTAGAAGACCCCACCAACAAGGGATTATAAGATTCTAGGTTAAGGGGTTAGAGTTCCAAAGTATTAGTGCTTTTGAATTCTAAGATTCTAGATTACTAAAGGGGTTGAAGTTTCAAAGTAATAAGGCTTTTGAATTCTAAGATTAGGTTACTAATGTCCTAAAAATCTATACAAAAAGAGTTTTTATGAATTTTTATAGATATTCCTCTTCTTTAGGATGTCACCGGGCGAGTATGTCAAATTTTGACACGAGAAAGTTTCTTATCAAAGCATGGAAAGGAATTGGCATTAGACTAAGTGTCCTTGTTAGCAGCATATGTTTATCCCACAACCACAACCTTTTTATACTCTATAACATATGACATTCTTATCAAGGTTCAAAGTATCGATATACGTATCGTGCTAGGAGATTCCCGATACGCCCCTACAGGGGTGGCATCAGGTCAGACCATGGTTCAGAGGGCAGCTGAGACTTAAATCAAAACATAAAAAAGCACCAACACATGCCGTTACACCCTACCGGAAAACTATAAATATACTCATGCTCAGGCCTAAGCCTAGCCTGAAAACTAAAAAAGTATTTTTTTCCTTTTTTATTCAATAGAAAACTATTTTATTTATATTAAATGACCTCAAAACCTAAAAATAATGAAAAAATCTCACTATTACCTGAAAAAAGAGAAGAATAATAAAGAAAAAGTATTATATATATAATATATAAAATATATTTTTGTTATATAATGCATTATCAAGTCAGGCTCAATCTTAGGTTAGGATTATTTGAGATAGCTCGAACCCAACCCGTAAAAGGTCAGGCTTGATGTGCTAGGTCCTTGAATTGGTCTGTACACAGCCTCTTGTTTGGGTTTGAGCCACTTGGCACATTTAAAATCTCTTAGGTTTCAGTGTTGGTCTGTTTCGATTTGCTGAATAAACAACCAACAGACCAAGTTAGGTCGGTTGAACAAAATACCTGAAATCGACCCAACCCAACCTATGAACATCTCTATTAGACACACATTCAATACCAACCCCATGAGAGATCCTTACCCATTTGTGCTATCAACTCTTTTTCAACCTTTAGTAAAGCTCCCCCAAAACTCCCAACAACACTACCCTCTTACCTCCTTCCTAAATCTCTAGTTGTATTGCAAATCATGGAGATGGCACCCCAAAGAATCAACCTCACCCTTCATTCCTGAAAACTCCATAGAAAATGAAGAGAAATTCCAACCTGACAAAAATGGAACTTGGGAAGGATATGGAAGTGGTAGCAATCTAGAAACCGTATCCATAAGGTCCACAGTCACATCGACCGCGTTGTCAGAATTGAAAACAGGATGGACATTTGTAAGCCAGCCTCCAGAAGGTAGATTGTATCAATACTCTCAACACCAAAGAGATGCTAATGGAGGCCCTCGACCATCCCCAAAATCCACCTCTTCCATTTCTCCACCATTGACTTAGTTTTCTACCCAGATCCCTCTCCCATGGCGCACCAATAAAAGCCAGTGCCACATGGTGTTACAACCTCCTTCTTGGATCTAGCTTATCAAACTCCAATTCCCCATGAACCTCTGTTTGTTAAAGAGCCACCATGTACAACCATCCTACATGGCCGAGAAAGTAGGAGACCCCTCTAAATCTCTAGTTAGCCAAGCCAAGATTCAAGAGTGCATTAAAAAGCCTTATCAAAGTTAATCAAACCCGAGCCAAGACCTTTGTCCTTCTCTAAAAGCCTTACTCCAACCGTATCTTGAATAAAACCTACCCGGTTAGCTATACCCCTCACCAACAATGGACCCTATACGATGGGCAACGTGGCAAGCCCTATGAAAACATCAATAAATTTGAAGATTCCATGGAGGCTTTTGCGTTAGATGGTGACCTTAAAGTTAGAGAGTTCTTTAAATCATTGATAGGTTTAGCCTACACCTAGTTTGTAAGCCTAACACTACGGGGAATCAATTCCTAGAATGAGTTGATAGAGAAATTGGTCAATAATTAGTTAATTCTAGGCCAAACAGTGATCCCATCGAGTACAACTATTGAAAACACCTACCCTAAAGCCATTAAATGCCAAGCAATAGCAAACCTCCTCATAGCCTTCCCAACCGAAGACTCCTTAGAAATTTCAGAGGAGATCAGGAGAAATCATGGGTCAAGCTAGGTCGGGCCCGGGCTGAGTTTATCACTAATGGTAAGTGTTTTAATCTAGGTCCAGGCCCAACCCAACCCGCACCCCAGGCCTAATTTGCAAGCCCAGCCAGGCTTACAGGCTTTCCGGGTCTATTACATCCAATAATAAAAATTTTCTCATTTAAATTACATGTAATATATACAAAAAAATTGGCAAAAGCCCAAGGTAAATTGGTCTTGGCTAAGATTTGGACTTATTCACAAAAAAGAAAAAAAATGCATGAGCCTCATTTAATTCTTAGAGTTGGTTTGGCTTGACTTACCTATCCTTTTATAGATGAAGGTAAGGCCTCTATTCTCATTCTTGAGCAATGTGGGACTTGGAATAACACTAAATATTGAGTAAATGAAAATGAAGGTCTTTCCTTCATTTATATAAGGCCTCCTTGTCTAGGAGGACAATTTATAATTACATACTTGAATTAGCTCAAGTGTTCATACATGTATTGACATGGGTCAACTAATTAATATTTATTTATATGTTAAAACTTAACATTTGTATATCTTATATAAAATATTAGACGTTTAGTATAAAATAAAATCTACTTCTATATATATGTAAAAACATATATATTATATTACATTGTGGGATAGGCCAGGCTTGAAGTGTTACGCCCAAGCTCAACCCAAAATTTTTCAGGCTTGTTGCGGCCAGAGCTGGGCCGAGCTTGCACACAAAAAACTGGGCCCATAACTAGAAATTTGCAGGCTGCCCTAACCTCACCCTCTGTAGCAACTATAACATGTTCCTCCAAACTCCAGTTCCGTTGTTCACATAACATTGTAGAAAATGAAGCATTTATCCTAAGGTTAACCCTAATTAAAGAACAAAGCTCGAACAAAATTCTAGTAATAGGCAATTCATAGCTAGTCATCGGACAGATGGTTGGGACAAGCATAGTAAAAGAAATTCCCCTTTTACCTTAGAAAACCCTCATCTAGAAATCTAACCCAAGGCCTAACCATCACCCAACCAACATTGAAATCACACCAAGAATCGCTACATAGATGCCTTAGCCATCTCAATCTCCAAGATTTAACCATGAGAAGAGAAGACTATGATTTGTGTCCAGATGCAAGGGAAACCATCTATAGAAAAACTATTCCACTAGGTAGAGATACAAGATAGGATTAGGGTAGAGGATTGGAGATATCCCATAATTTTGAAGCTCAAAAACCTTACCTCCTCACCACAAGACAATAAGGTATTGAGAGAAACTCACAAAGTATGTTGCGGGAATATAAGGAAATTATAACACATGGGATATTACTGACCAAATATGAAAATGGATGCAGTGAAAGTACAAAATGACTGTAGGAAATGTATAGTGGAGATTAACAAATATGGGTGCTTGGTAGTTGGGGAGGCTGACTGGAGGGGCCCCAACATTGCATACTTAACAACAAGTGCCCTACCAGCAGACAATATTAGCTAGGAAAAGGCTCTTGTTCATAATGGGAAGGTTTTACATGCAAGACGAATTGAGTTGCATAGAAGGGGATCAAATCCACAAATCTTAGAAGTAACCTACAGTAGAGAGCCAACAACAAACCAAGATCAAAATGCCTTGTACGGCCACATACTACATCTAGGGCTCTACTGGCCAGCAATGTTGGATGACACAGCCAAACCTGTGAGAAAGTGCCACATTTGTTAATTACATGGACGGAGAATTCATCAACTAGCCCATGAACTCCAACAAGTGATCGCACCTTGGCCTTTCCATACTTAGGGAGTAGATCTAATTGGCAAAATAAACCCACACTTTAGAGGTTGCTGCTTCATTATAGTTGGCATTGACTATTTCACAAAGCGGTCCAAGTGATCTCCTAGAAAAGAACAGCAACAACAAACATATAGCCAACTTTTTATTCCATTATATTACCCATAAATTTAGGGTATCCATTAGAATCCCGAAAGATAGTTGACTATCTATCGAAAGCCAAGAAGTTAGGGACATCCCAGGATAGTACGATACATGTATAGGCATCTATCAAATAGTTTTGATAGCATATGAAATGGGAAAGTATTGTAGCAAGGATCAAAAGGATTGTAGTAGACTAGACACCCTAGATGATATAAGAGAGAGGAGCTTATAATGCCAAGTAAAGTATAGAAAAATAACGACCTCCAACTTCAACAAAATGGTGAGACCACTAATACTTAAGGAGGGAGATAAACTACTCAAGATGGTGTTGCTCGTAAGACAAGGCAAGTTTACTATGAAGTTTACTCCAAACTGGGTTGGCCCCTTAGTTATAAAGAAAGCACACTCATCAGGCTCTTATGTTTTATGGAACCCTGAAGCTAATGGTGATGGCAAGACCATCAATGGCCACTAGCTAAAACAATATTATGAATAAACATTCTACCAAATAGTTTGCTTGTAACAACTATT